GCCACTGCACTCTAGTCTGGGCAACAGAGTGAGACTCCAACTCAAAAAAAAAAAAACCAAAGTGAATGTAGCAAATTAAGTGAAGTTCATGTATTACATTAATCTATATTAAAAATATGGAAAATAATCTGTATATATGCATAAAATAGTTCCACAAAGATATCCAAGAAATTGATAACATTTGTAAACTCCATAGTTGGGGTGGTGGTGGGTGGGAGGCTGAGGTACACTGGTAGCAGGGAGTTTTTTCACTACTGTGAATCCCTTACATATGAACCTTCAAGTTGTGAACTTTCAAAGATGCAAACATGCATTCACATGCCCAATCATGTAAGTTAGTTCATGTGTCTAGTATACATTGTCAAGTGCTTGCATCCTCTACAGTTGGTTGTGCTTTTGTGTACTTTACTGTATAGAATACATTAGTACAGTATCTTTATTTCAAGCCTAGGATGTCTGGAAGCAAGCGTAAAACAGCAGTGATACAACTGATACTGCTAAGAAGCATCAAACAATACTGATGGAAACAGTCAAAATAATTGAGAGAGTAGAGCAAGGTGAAAAGATGGTAGACGTCACTCATTATTATAACATGAACTGTTCAACTATTGCCATGATTCTAAAGAACAAGGATGAGAACATGGAACATGTGAAGTTTGCTGTGCTGATGATGTTGACAATAATATTAAAGAAGTGTGGAAAAGTGATGGGGGAGATGGAGAAACTTTTCAGTGTATGGATGCAGGATCAGCATCAGCATTAAGTCACACTCAGCTTAATGCTGATTCAAGAGAAAGCTAAAGGTCTTTATGGAGACTTGAAGAGGAAACACAATGAAGAGTCAGAGGGCGCATCTTTTAATGCCAGCTGTGGCTGGTTTAATCAGTTCAAGGGTAGAGCCAACCTTCACAACTTAAAAGTAAGTAGCAAGGCACTGAGTGCAGATACAGTAGCTGCCTGGAAATTTCCTGAAACTCATCGAGAAATTATTGATGAAGGTGTGTATTTACCAGAGCAGGATTTTTGTTGTTGTTGTTTTGAGTTGGAGTCTCACTCTTGTCACCAAGGCTGGAGGGGTGCAGTGACGATCCTTCCGCCTCAGCCTTCCAAGTAGCTGGAACAGATGCACACCACCATGCCTGGCTAGTTTTTGTGATTTTTGTAGAGATGAGGTCTCACCAAGTTGCCCAGTCTGATCTCAAGCCCTCGGACCCAGGCAGTCCTCTTGCCTTGGCCTCCAAAAGTGCTAGGATTACAGGTTGAGCCACCGTGCTAACTGCTGTTTGGTGGCAATGCTTCTGGTGATATGAAGCTGAAGCCTCTCTTAGTTTATCATTCAGAGAACCCAAGAGCCTTT